GCATGAATGTTTCAGTACTTCTTGATGATTTCGCCGCTCTGAAATCTCGGAATAAGAAATTTTAATTTTGTGATTTTTCCTGTATTCTTTTTTCTTTTGCAATTAAATTTATATCTAGTTTATTGTAGATATATTATTATTTGTTTGTCTGTATTGCACAAATTCTGTGTTATTAAATAAAGATATATATATATATATCAATACACCAATTATCAATTTAAATATTTTATTCTCGTTTTATAACCTATATCAACACCAATTAATTAGTAAAATGTATATTATTATATCTAGGTCAAGGTAACTGTAAGGGCCCGCACCTGAAATGGGCCCTTCTCAAAATATGTTTGTATATATTCTGCATGTGTTTACGTAATATATCGAATCCGAGAGCAATTCTCTAGCTGAGCATTTTGTATAAAATGTTATGTTAAATTTGTTGATTTGACCCCTCAGCTGTTAAGGGCTCTTGATCTTTGATTGCGTTGGGGGGGGGGGCGATGTTCTCTAGTTACGCCATAGAGGAGAGATAAATAATATGTTTACAGTTATACCAAAACATTTTGACTTTAGCATATTACGTAAGTTGTTTAATTTAGTTCAGTTTTTTGAAATATAATAACATTTCAACATTTCACAATGTCAAACTACCCAGTCCTATTGAAAGTCTTGCGTATAGATCGACAACATTATAATTGTTATGAAGGCTTATAACTTTGATAATGCTGGAAAAATAACAACAACAACAACAAAAAGAAAATTATGACCACGAAGGCAATAAGAAAAAAAAAACTGAGAGTAAATAGCATTTTGATGACCTAAAACCGTTAGCCACTAATAACTACATTAATAATTTCTTCAGGTTTGTTTTTTATTCGTACAAAGCTACTACTAGCACTCGTCGTACCTAATTTTGAAGTGATAGGCTAAAGGGAATACAGCTAATCAACACAACCCATCGTCAATTCTTGAGCTATTCTTTAACAACAAATAATGGGATTCACTGTCACATTATAACGCTCCCATGTCTAAAAGGGCGAGCATATTTAGAGATAGTTAGGTTTCGATCCCGCAACCACCCGATTGTGAGTTGAGCACTAAAACTACCACGCCAGGTCTTTATCTTCATATTACAAAGGTGGAATACATATATAGTCAAAGCTTCTATTTACTTGTAATGGTTTAAACGCTTTTCCTAAGCTGGCGAAGCATCAGGATAATTAAGCAGTGGTATTTTTGTAACCAAAAAAAGGAAAAAACTCAAATATCTAAAATTTTTTTGTATCTCAGCAAAATTCACCTAGGATTTATAAGTAATTAAAAAATCTAGTTGTTAAAAAAAAGTGGAGCTGAGCTCCACCACAAAATAGGTCTGTTATTAAATATATTGGGCTACAATTCACCCAGTGACTCACCGGTAGGTCTGAGGGCTTTTGATGCGAAAATTAGGGTTTCATCACCCATGGTGGGCTCAACACAGATAACCCATTGTGTAATTCTATGCTGAAAACAAAAACCCCATAAAAAATGGATTAAAAACTCATTATTTGAACCTGGAATGGACTGATGGTTAGGGCTCTCGACTTGCAATTTGCGGGTTCGAATCTTCATCATACCGAACATGTTTGCCCTTTCAGTCGTGGGAGTGTTGTAAAGTTATGGTCAATACCATTATTCGTTGGAAGAAGAGTAGCCCAAGAGTTGATATTGGGAGGTGTTGATTAGATGCCTTCCCTCTAGTCTATCATTGCTAAATTAGGGACGGCTAGCGCAGATAGCCCTCAAGTAGCTTTTCACAAAATTCAATACAAACAAACAAACCTACTACAATATTTAACATTATACATCAATTCCTTAAGGTTTTTCAAGAATTAAAAATCAGGGCGTA